AGAATATCCCATATTCAGGAATTGACTGTTTACTTCCTTGAGTTTGTCATTTAACTCATTCCTCTATTCATCTGTATTTCAGTAATTTGAAGCTAGTTGTTAAAAGTTTGACTGGATTCAGTTTAAAATTTTGGGCAAGAAGACCTGATATAAGTAGTGCTGTGTGAAATATAGCTGCTTTTCAGTATTTTATGGAGTTCGTGGAAAAAAATCGTTTTATCTTAAAATTAGAAGTATTTTCCTCTGATAATACAGCACTGGACAAGGAAATCCTATCATACTGTCTGTTTTTCAGTGAACAATATTCATGGGGTCATGTTAAGGCAAACTGCTGTTTGCTGGTTTTCAACTTTCAAAATCAATGTATATTAAGACAAGAAGACTTCATTGTATTTAGGCAACAGAATGTTGTAATTAATTTTGTCAACATAAGTTAGGAGAAGTTGGATGGGGAAAGTGGGAAGACACTGCTGGCATCCTTAGCTGCAGGATAAGAGATATGGAATAAAAATCAGAAGTTTAAGTATTTTTCAGACTGCAAAGGAAACAAATTATAGTATTAGAATAATATAATTATTAGAAATACAGGGGAGAGAGGTTAGTGTGAATGAACTTAATCTTCATCTCTCATATAAGAGGATTAATAGATAAGGTCTAAGATGTTTTTACTGCTTCTGGTAAATTAATCATTATTTAAATTCTCATGGAGGTAACCACCAGAGAAACTTAAGAACAGACTTTTTTTTCTTTTTTAATGTTTATTATTGAGGGGGGGGGCAGAGAGACAGGGAGACAGAGGATCCGAAGCAGGTTCTGTGCTGACAGCAAAGTGCCTGACGTATGGGGTTTGAACTCACGAACCAACTTGCAGGATCATGATCTGAAATCAGACGCTTAACCAACTGAGCCACCCAGGCCTCCAAGAACATTTTTAAAGTGGCTGTGTCTGGGGAGTGGAATTAGGGGTGGGAAGAGTGGAAAGCACTGTTGCTTCTTTGTTGTGCATTTTTCTGGACTCTTGTTGCTGTTTAACCATGCATATTCATTATTAAGGAAAGTAGTAACTTTCCCCCTTAGTCTTAATAACTACCCTAAAATGTGGTTTCATCAAGTAAGCTCTACTTTAACATTAGTTTTCAAAGGTATGAAGACTCAGGTCAGATATATAAAAGAATTAAGCACACATCAGAAAAATTCTTTGTACTTAGTACTTGTAGATCTAGAGCACAATAGTACTGAATTCTGGCTTGCTGAAACAAATTATATCAAAGTTCTCTGCACTTAAAGGACTTGGAATGCTCACCTTTTCAATGGTTGCCATTTGTTTCCTGATTTGAGGCCGCTCTGACTGCCGTGTGCAGAGCTAGTATCTTTAAATTTTTAGTTTTTGAATTTCACTGTAGTGATAGAATGTCACAAAGTAACAAACTGCCTCAAGACAATGATCCTAAAGCTAACAATTATAAACTTCAGGATGATAGATGCTTCCCAGAGAAGTTTTCCTAATTATTTTAAGCTGTGAGTGGTTAGTAATTTTCTCCCCAGAAATTGATCCACCGTGCATAATGAATACAGACAACTAAAGAATTTCCAGGGATGCCTGGGTGGCTCAGTTGTTGGAGTGTCTGACTTCTGATTTAGGTTCAGGTCATGATCTCACGGATGGTGGGTTTAAGCCCTGTGTCGGACTCTGTGGTGACAGCGCAGAGCCTGCCTTGGATTCTCTGTGTCCCTCTCTCTCTCTCTCTCCTGGCCCCCTCACACACAGTCTCTCTAAAATAAATTTGTAAAATATTAAAAAAAAAAAAATAGCTTCCAGAAATTTTAAAAGGTTGCTTTTCCTGAGTGAGATAAATCCCACATACCATTGAAAGATCAGATTTCATAACTCCCCATGCAGAAAGAACACAGAATTTGAAGAGTGCTTCCAGCAAGAAATGGAGGGTCAAAATCCGCATTGCCTAAGAAAAGCCTCTAGTGATGATCTCTCTGAATGTAATCCTAGCTGAAAAGAGCAAGATATGTGAAAGCTTTAAAATCATGCCGTGAAAAAATATTATCTAGCAAGCATTTACTTTATGTGTACTGGCTTTAATGCAGTGTATTCAGATTTAAATTACAAATGTTTTTGGCCTAAGTTTGTTAAATGCATAAAACTCTCCCCTCAAAACTTTTTTGAATGTAATGAAATCTCTGCTAATGAGCCCTGAAGTTTGTTTAAAGTCTCAGTAGATGTTGAGTTTAGCTCTTCCAACCATTGAACTCCGTTGTTTACCTTTTCGTCTCAGATTACTAATTTTCATTCATTATAGAACCTGGCAGAGGAATATATTATGTTTATTTTATAATTCACGTATTCTAAGTATTATTTGCTTTTCAAAGCCACTTAATGATTATTTATAGAATGTAGTTATTATAATCAGCAGCGGATATGAAATCAGACTGAATCATAATGTTGGCTCTAATCCTAGATTATATAATAGTGGACAAATAATTTAATATATCTGGGCCTATTTCCTCTTTTATGAATAAAGGGGTCCAATTGACCCTTTAATCCATCATTCTGTGTCACAGTGTAAATCATTAAGGTTCCTACATATTAAAAGATTTTATAAAGAATATAAACAGCCTTGTTATCCTCAGTTCTTGCCATGTTCCTTAAACTAATAAAGTGTGGAAAACGTGGTTTTTCCTTCCACCTAAATTTGTAAAATATAGGAATTTATATATTTGGTTTAACTGTTCAAAATTTTGGTCTAAGGAAAAAGAAAAACTCCATATTAGACCTAATAGGTACTAAACCAAAATGCAATATAATTTAGTTTTTATTTATTTATTATTTTTTTATGTATTTATTTTTGAGAGAGAGTTAGAGACAGCGTGAGCAGGGGAGGGTCAGAGAGAGAGAGAGAGATACAGAATCTGAAGACAGGCTCCAGGCTCTGAGCTAGCTGTCAGCACAGAGCCCAACACAGGGCTCAAACCCATGAATCGTGAGATCATGACCTGAGCCAAAGTCGGACACTTAACCTACTGAGCCACTCACGCGCCCCTATAATTTAGTTTTTAAAAGTATGGTATTCACAAAAGAAAATCCAGAGGGCTCTGTTATAGTTATTACTGCTACTAAACAGCCTACCCTCAAACAGAGTGGCTTAAGACAGTACTAATCATTTAATTAGCTAAGAACCTGCATTCTGAGTAATTCCCTTCTGCTCCACAGCAGCTGGGTATTGGGCTACTAAATGATTAGGCATTTTCTCAGCTCTCCCATTCATAACAAAACACCTTGGAAACATTTTCTATAGTCGCTATCCCTAATTCTCCTCTACTGTTTTTCCTTTTTAAGATTATTTTTAGAGGCATCTGGGTGTCTCAGTCAGTTGAGCGTCTGACTTCGTCTCAGGTCATGATCTGATGGTTCATGAGTTCGAGCCCCGTGTTGGGCTCTGTGCTGACAGCTCAGAGCCTGGAGCCTGCTTTGGATTCTGTGTCTCCATCTCTCTGTGCCCCTCCCCTGCTCGCACTCTGTCACTGTTTCTGAAAAAATAAATAAATAAACATTTAAAAAAGATTATTTTTAAAAATAATTCTTTTTCTTAAAATGATTATTTTTGAGAGAGCGTGAGAGAGAGAGCGCGCACATGCGTGGGACAGTGGGGGAGGGGCAGAGAGAGAAGGAGACAGAGTCCCAAGTGGGCTCCATGCCATCAACACAGAGCCTGACATGGGGCTCAAACTCATGAACTGGGAGATCATGACCTGAGCCAAAACCAAGAGTCGGATGCTTAACTTACTGAGCTACCCAGACACCCCAGAAATAATTCGTTTTGAAATAATTTCAAATATAGAGAAAATCTGCCAAAAGAGTGAAGATTCCTATATCCCTCACGTAGATTCCCCAGTTACTAACATTTTATTGAATTTGCTCCATTGTTCAGTACTACTCCCTCTCCATATATGCATACCCAAAGGCGCATGATTATTCATCCTTTTTTGAACCTTCAGAAAACAAGCTTTATACATGATATACCATCACTACTAAATATTCCAGTCTGTATTTTCTAACTAGAACGTTCTCCCGTATAACTAGCATGCTCCTTCCAAATAAGGAAGCCAACTTTGTTTCAACATTGCCACCCCATCCACAAATCTCATTCATATGTTGCCAAATGTCTCAGCAGTATCCCTTGTGATACCTCCTCTGATCTAGGCTCCTATCCAGAATATGTGATCCATTTAGTTGTCATGTCTGTTTAGACTGACATTCAGTCTGAAACAGTACTGTGATCTTTGGTTTGACAGTTTTATTGAGTATAGACTTTGTGTAATATAAGATGATCCTAGACTCCTTTAGTATGTTCCTCATCTATAAGCTTTGGCATCCATTGATGGCTCCCTTCTGAATCAAACACCTCTATGATAATTGCCAGGTGGTGATTTTCTATTTCCTTCATTCCTTCTATATTTATCAGTTGGGCACACTACTAAAAGAAGGAGCTTTTCCTTCATTCACTTATTGATAATATAAGGACTCATTAGTTCCTATTTTATTTATCGGGTGGTAATCAATCATCATTTATTTTGACATTAAAATTGTCTATTTGGCCAGTAAGAGCCCCTTCAAGTTACATCCTGTGTTTTTTTGATATGTCCCATTATAACTGAGCATTTCTGTACTTTTTGGCATAGAAAGTATCCCAGGATCATTTTGTACTTTCCCTGACCCAGCTCTGGAATCAGTCTTTTCTCAAAATAGCTCTGGTTCCTCTTAGTGGAGAGGATAGGTATTTAGAAAACAACATCTGGGCACATGATGTGCTCGATGCTGCAGGGGTGTCATCATTTCTAGGCCCTCTTAGCCAAGAAAGCTAGGAAAATATCTACATATATGTAGAAGCAGCCTAATTTTACTATGTTGGAGCTTTGATTGCAAGATAGTATTGAATGATATTATAGTTACTGAGAAAAATTGACTTTATTTGCTTTGTCCCTTCCAGGTATGTGTAATCCTAGAAACTATAGTGACACACCTCCAACCTCAAAGAGCACAGTGGAGGAGCTTCACGAGCCAATCCCTTCTCTCTTCCGGGCACTCACAGAAGGAGACACTCAGTTGAACTGGAACATTGTTTCCTTCCCTGTTGCAGAAGAACTCTCACATCATGAGAATCTGGTTTCATTTTTAGAAACTGTGAACCAGCCACACCATCAAAATGTGTCTGTTCCTAGCAATAATGTTCACGCACCTTACTCCAGTGACAAAGGTAACTGCCCACAGCTGACTCTCTATCTTGCCCCCTCACTTTCTGTGTGGTCTGTGAAACCTACATTATCTTTGAGTTTGTCTAATCTTAATAAATTATGGACTTCAATGATCCTAATCCCTGAGTAGATAAGGAGGCATGTCAAGCATATTATCACCACTCCTTCACAGTCACAGCGATAAAAGTTGTGTTGGAAGATAGATAACTTGGTTCTAATTTTGGTGTTTATTTGTGTTTGGCTTTAATTGTTCTTTCCATAAGATAGCAACAGTGCTGATTACTTAATATAGCATTGCACACTGTCAGGTAACATTCAGAATGTTCTAGGAAGTTCTACATTTTTGTAATAGCATTGGCACTACAAATGATACTGAGGTCATCAGCTAAATTTCTTTATGAGCAAGTTGGTATTATAGACCTCTAATCTCCAGGTATAAAGTAACCCCAGTACTCTTGGTCAGAAGGGGAATGAAATGAAAGAATGATTTGAATAGCTTTGAGAACCATATTAAAGAATACTTATTAGTGAGGGTTGGTCATTCCTTAATGTAAAGGGCATGCAACTTTTATAATATCTTTAATATTTTCAAGTAAAAGACTCTGCGCAATTTTACTGTGGAAGAATAAGGCAATGATGAAAATTTTATTTCTTAAAATATGAGATGAATTATGCATAAAAAGTATAATTTGTAGTCTTTCTTATTTGGCTTCTTGTTGTGCCCTCCATTACAATCCTGCCTATCTGAAATAGTATGACCTTTGGACATCAGTAGTAAAAGTAAAACAGCATTTGTTAATGATACACAGAGTAAGCATTTTTATTGATTTTTGGTGAGACTACTTTAAAAGACAAATTGTAGATTTGGGAAAACATCAGAAATATATGGAATATGCCTTATTAAGATATTTTGCTACCATTTTCTCCATTAAAATGTATTCAGTATAATACATATTCAATAATAATTCATAAATTTTGTTGAAATATCATTTAATAAAATAATTAGCAGGAAGCCAAGTTTCCTGGGAAATACCAACTGTCTTTGAAGACAAAGTTCAAGTTTCTCCTTTTTGACACCTTCTCTAGGTGCCCCTGCTCCCAGGTAGAGCAAATTACCTCTGATTCCATTTCCCAATATTTGTGTTTCGGTTTGTTGTCTGTTTTTAACTTATAGGTCTACCGTTTAGTACTTAGTTCCTTGGATTCTCTGATTACTCTTTGAGTCCATAATGGCTATTCCATAGTAAGTGTTCCATAAATACTTGTTGAATAAATAAGTGAACGAAAGTTGGTAGATACTAATTACCTGGAGAGTCAAAGCTCCCCTGTCCTGCTCACTGTCAGTCCCTAGTCTGCCTGGTCTCATGCTGTACTGGCCTCCCTGTTTTCCATCTTGACCTGACCCCATCTTCTATACCCAACGGTGGTTCTGCTGTGTCTTGATGCCACCCATTCACTGTGGTTGGACTGGCCTCCATTCCCCAGGCACACTACACTGGTCTTCTTGTGACTTTCCTTATTTTGTTACTTGGTAACTTTGCATTTAATTCTTCTTCCTAATACAAGCCCACTTTTTTCCATTAAATGTTTCCTTACTATTCAGGCACCTGGTAATTTACCCATTCTATAAATGGTTCTGTAAAATAACAGACTTTAATCATGCACTCTCTATTAATAGTTTTTATTGTCTTTTACTTATTTCATATACCTTGTCCTCCTGGCTAGGTTGTTATATGACATTAACCACCAGGAGAGCTAAAAATTGAAACAATCAAAAATAGTTGCATTCGAAAGCAAGACTAGAAATTGCTACTGATAATATGAGCATTTTTAAATAGCCAATGCGGAATTGTGCCAAATACTGCTAATAACCACTTTGCATCATTTGAATTAAGTTTGTTTTATTTATTTATTTTTTGTAAATTCTCAGTGTAGCTTTAGAACAGTATTTTTCAAACTTCTTTTAGCTGGAGAATTCTTTCCTCTAAGAAAATCTTATCAGAAATGCCCAATTTGAGGTGCCTGGGTGGCTCAGTCGGTTGAGTATCCAACTTTGGCTCAAGTCATGATCTCATGGTTCTTGAGTTCGAGCTCCTCATCAGGCTCTGCCCACTTCAGATGCTCTGTCTTCCACTTTCTCTGCCCCTTCTGCTCACATGCTCCTCCCCTCCAACTCTCTCTCTCAAATATAAACTTCAGAAGGGAAGAAAGAAAGAAAAAGAAAGGAAGGAAGGAAAGAAAGGATGAAAGAAAGAAAGAAATACAGACAGACAAGAAAGAAAGAAAGAAATGTCCAACTTATAAGGCACAGCTCTGAAGCATAGCAGTTGTTAAGCCCAGTAATCTTAACTTCAAGATCAAAGTCCAGAATCTGATAACCTGACTAAGGAAGCTTTTTGCCTTTTTCAGCTGGGGCGGGGAACTCTGGCTTTCTTCTCAATATAATTAATACATGTGATCTTTTTTCCTACACCTCATCCTTTGTCCTGTGTAGACTAGCAGTAAGAGAACCAAGAATAACTATTAATATCAGGCAGGTATTAAAGCATTTCCCGCTTTTCCTCTTTCTTGCTCTGAGCTCTTTTTTTCTTTTCCAGAACACATGTGTACTGTGGTTTATTTTGACGACTGCATGTCCATACATCAGTGTAAAATATCCTGCGAATCCATGGGAGCATCCAAATACCGCTGGTTCCACAACGCCTGCTGTGAGTGCATTGGTCCAGAATGCATCGACTATGGTAGTAAAACTGTCAAATGTATGAACTGCATGTTCTAAAGAAGAAGAATGCAAACCAAAGCAATCTAATCAACAAGAAAGATATGAGAAGCTATTCAGTGAGGTCTACTGGTTCCACCAGCATGCCACCTTGTTAAGAAGATACAAAGAATTTGGACAGAGTTAAAGTATGACAAATCCAGTAATGTGTCAAATTATAATTATAACTGCTCTGGTTGAGCAATAAGGCAATAAGCCCTTTCCTCTTAAATACTTTTACAACTTTGATTATATGAGAAGCAAGTACACAGAGAATTCCTTGAAAGATCTAAGGTTTTTGACATAAAACCTGATGTCATTTTTTTCCTTTGCATTCAAAAAGCCTTTGGTTTTGAAAGCGTTAGAGCAGGTTAACATAAGTTACAGTTTCTTCATTTACTACTTACTCCTGGGACACTGAGTTTGTCCAGTCATACACCAGTCTTCATTCACGGTGCCTTGTCTCGTTTATCTCTCCTATAAATAGAGTTGGTAGTCCAGCATATCACCCTGAGAACTCACATAAAAATCACCATTAAAAGGTTAATTTCAAGCCTCGGAATGTGGGTTTTAGAAAGTAAATGCTTACTACATGTTACAATTTAAAACTCTTACATAGGGACACCTGGGTGGCTTAGTCAGTTAAGCGTCCGACTTCGGCTCAGGTCATGATCTCATGGTTTGTGGGTTTGAGCCCCACGTTGGGCTCTGGACTGACGGCTCAGAGCCTGGAGCCTGTTTCAGATTCTGTATCTTCCTCTCTCTCTGACCCTCCCCGCTCATGCTGCCTCTCTCTCTCTCTCTCTCAGAAATAAATAAAACATTAAAAATAAAATAAAACAAAACTCTTACATAGTAGAACCCATCCTGTCATACACATGCTGACAGAGCTTTGGGGAAAGTTTCTCCTTTTCTTATATTCCCCTGCCCAGAGTGCTGATGCAGGTAGTGATGAAGAATTCTGAACAAGAATCGCAAGGCACATTTATGACACTGCATTAAATATTCTGCTAGGGTATAAAGAATTGGGAAGTTAAAGCATTTCTCAGACTTAAGGTACCAGCTTACTGAACACTGGGAATGGGAAATACCTGCCAAATCAGACTCCGCTTAGAGGGCCAGGGAAATGCTTTGTCCCATTGTACAGAGAGCATGGGCAGAGCCACGTTCCCTAAGCTGAATGACAGGAGGAGATAAAGAAGAAGCTTAACAATATGAGCAGGGAAGGTTGAAAAAGCTGGCAGTTCTTACCGACAGTAAACTTAAAACTATTTACATGAATTATTTTGTTATAGTGTAATCTTTCCTTTAGGTTTCCATCTGGATCGAATGTTTTCACTACAAAAGTATAATCAGACAGTGGAAGGTAAAGGGTATGAAATTAAAAAGAAATCTCTGTTTAAGACAATATTAACTCCAAATACACTACAGACTATTTTGTTTTATATGTTTCAGTAATGATAAGCTTAATTACTTTGTGTCCTTCATCATAATAAAATCCCAGTGTCCAAGCATGAATCTAAAACATAAATATTTATATTCCAGAAATTCTTAACTATACAAAATTATTTTTCAGTACATTATGATTTATAAGTAACTTGTAGGAATATCTCTTTGTATGTCTAAGTATTTTAGTACATAAAAATAGATAATGCTCTTAGACACTTTGTATTTGTATTCATTATATGAATAGTAGTTAGTTACAAGATCATATGTAATATCATGATTAACTGTCATAAAATCTAAAGCCTTAATATCTTTCTGTTCTTTCAGACTACTCCAATGAGTACTAAAGGTACTTTAGCCTTTCCAAAAACTTATGGCCTTTTTTTAAAAAAGTTAAAATTTAGCCTCTTACATGTATTTTTTCTTAATAGGAAAACATTGGGATATCTTTCTCTTACTTCTAACTAAAATGCCTCTGTTTAAAAGTGCCTTGACAACATTTTGGCTCCTATTCTTCAGTAGTGTCTATAAAGGTAACAGCTTTCTTAAAACCTTTTAAACTAAAAAAGAGAAAGCTTTAAAGGAGTCTACATCCAGGTGCTTCATTTCCACTTTGCTATTCTTCAAAATAATTTCATATCTATAAATAGAGAAATCCTTCTGTGTTTATTGACAGCAAGCTAATGTTGCCTTAAATATGACAACATTTTTTAACTGCAACTTATCATCTTTATTAGGCCTTCATTATTAAATTTTGAAATGTAATAGCTCTTCTGCCCTTATACCGGGAAGGTAATTTCTTGAACCATATTGTATTTGAACTCATTTTCCTTACATCTATTTCTCCCAATAGAAATTATCCCTAAATGTAATGGTTAATTTCATATCCAATTTTGCTTAATTTTTGTGGTTTATGAAGGGGTTGAAAGACAGAGTTTACCTAAAAGATTCCATTATCAGCTTATAATGTATTTCAGGTTTTGAATAACAATGTTTTCCAAATCAGAAGTATAACATTTCAGAAGCTGGTAACTCCACTAAACTTTAGAGCCTTTATTACCGTTCTAGGTATGATTTACTTCTGTTTTGAAACTCTGGTAAAAATTCTTTTTTTAATCAAAAATTAGGTTAACTCCTTTATAACTAGATCAAAAAAAACCCTAAATCAGTAGGTATTATAAAAGCCATATATAAAAGTTTCTTTCCTAGATTAAGACATGTCCCTGCTGGTTAGTTTTCCTGTCCCTCATTGTCCACATAACATCTAATTATTGCAGAAATTGTGCTCAAAATACTGGCACCAAATTAAATGATAATTCAAATAAAGTAAGTCTTTGTTTACATAGGATGCTATAAAAGAGAGGCTTTTATTTAGAAATAATATTTCTAAAGCTTCAGAAAGCAAAATGGGTAAGATATTAGAATATTTGAACAATTATTTATAAAGCAGAGTAGCATCGAAATACTGCAAAATGAGGTAAATATGAATAAGCCACATATTTAAAGTTTGTTTTTGTGAAAGCTTCTTTGAAGATTTTTTAAATCTATTCTACATTCCCCAGAGTCTATGTTAATTGTATTTCACATGATCTACAACATGTAGAATTATGTAATTTTTCTTTGGTTGTCCCTATAAGCAAAAGAGTATTTTAATAAAAAATTGAAATGAGTGTGTCCTTCTTTTTGCTAACTTCAGCCTAGAACAAACACCAGAATAAATTTGACATTGCTGTCTAGTGAAGTTACAGTTTAAGGGAAGCTTGTCCCCTTCTTTCTGGATGTCCTTGCATATTATGTTGAAACAAAGGCTCTTTAATAGTTTGCTCTCTGCTTTTTCCTGCACTTTATTCCAATATGGGGGAATCTTTGAAATGAAATACCTAACATTCTCCTTGTTCTGTGAGCCTCAGGAGATCTATCTGATGGTTGGAAGGAGTTACAAGAAAGTCAAGGTAGGAAGATCACTCCCTGCTCTCCCACAGTGACCCTCATGGGATAATGTTATTAGAACTGAAAGCCATAAACCTTTGTGGTACCTTTATGGTGGATTCAGTGTTGTTTCCCAGAATCTACATTCTGACAGCCTGGTGGACAGGGGTTCTAGAGAGCGGAACGTTCAAGAGGACAGGTTGCCAGCCGAGTGACTTAACGGAATGAGAAATCTAAGGAATTCGGGGGTAGAATTCATTTCAAGTAGGACCATACATTTGATGATGAAAGTTGTTCTTTCGCTGAAGCTGTCCAGGGGCAGTGAGTCATGTGACACTGAAGGCAAAGGGTCATGATCTGGAGATGCTCAGTGGGGAGCGATCCTCCCGCCCAGGGAAGTCAGCAGGCTGCAAGCTGCGGTATGGCAGGCCCACCCAGCAGCCCACCCCAGGCATCCTTTGAGTTCCTAAAGCTGACAGACACCCCACTGGCTGATAGGTGTTAGGAGTTATGACTCTTAGGCCTCTTTGATAGTTCCTAACCATTTGAAAAAAAAAATCATTTTACATCTTTTTATTTCGAAGTCTGTGCTTAAAGGATTGAGTCAGGGTCCGGCTTTTGAGATGAGAATTCTCAGAGCAGAAGCAGAGAGAAAAATTTCTGCCCTCCCAGTGTGGTGCCGTGACTCAGAAAGAAGCCTGGAAAAGTGCAGAACCCTCATCCGTCACGGGGACCAAAATGTCCTCATCTGATTGAAATTAACCACTGAATTTAGACACAGTCACCACTGAAGCACTTCTGTGGCAACAGTGATTGCATTGTGAGCCCTCCTGATGTACATGATGCTGCAGCCAGCGCGGTCATTCTAACACACGTGTGCAGGTAATAGCTCCCCCAACCCCAGTGACAAATCCCAGCGAACTGCAAGGCCTTTGTGCCTCTGCCTCAGGGGCTAGTGTTACCTAATCGGAAATAGGAGCAGACAGCCTGCCTTTTGTTTTCCAGCAGTTTCCTCTGCTTTAGCCGATTCTGCTAAATCGGGGTGGGGGAGGAATCAAGTGCGATCAAGTGCATTTGCTAGAAAATGGGAAAAGGCCTGGGTCTCCCAGACCATGGGGACTGTGCCCCAGCCTCAGTGTGCCCTGAAATGCCCTGGTTCCAAAGTCAGCCGTTGCCTCCTTCGAGAGGTTTCAACTTAATGGCTGTTAGCAGCCCTGCTCGCCCTCAGTGTCTTGGTCCTCAGACTTGCCTCTAGGATCCTGTGAGATCCAGGGTAGGTACCAGAGTCTTGCTTTTGGCAGATGTCAGATGTGATAGGACTCTGGGTCAGATTTTATTTGATCTGAAGAAAATAATGAGAGAAGACCTGTTGGATCCTTGGGTTTGTGGAACAGCGTTTTCTTCTCTCAGCCTCATCCACTGGCGGCCTCACTGTTCTTTCCTCAGCCTCACACCCCCTTCCCTGTTCTCCTGTTCACTCCCCCGCTGGCCTTGCCCTCCCTCAGCAAACCACATTTATTCTGCCCTTGGGGATGAATTTGCATGAATTGTTTCCTCTGCTGCCCTCTGCTTTTTATGCAGACTTGGTTTGCTTGTTCTTATTCAGGTCTCAGCTCAAATATCGCTACCACCATCTCTCCAGTCGCAGCGTCTCCTCAGTCACCCCATCCTATTACCATTTTATTTTTTAAATATCGGGTAACTCTCTGAAAGTATTTATTGGTGACTTATCTATTCTCCTCTAACTAGCATGTGAGGCCCATCAGGGTAGGGAACTTGTGTTTTTTTTTTTTTATCACTGCCTTGAACACAGTTGTCCAGCACCCTTAAGTGTGGGACATGGGGCAGACACAGATGTTTTAGGGATGAATGAATGTTTTAAGCTCATACTTCTGCTTAAAATGGTGGCTCCTCAGATAAAGGTCCAACTCCTCGGCAGGCCTCTCAGGGCCCCATGGTCTGGTCCCGCTCATCCAACCAGGCCCACCTCCGACTTCTTCTTTTTGATGCGTGGTCACTGAACGCAAAGGTCAAGAAAGAGTCTTGAGACGGTAAGGTGCAACTTAGTAAGTTTATTTAAGTAACATAAGATCAGGACTTGGAGGCAGAAAGAACTACACGTTGTGCTATGTGAGGCTGGTGTTTTCATACTTAGTAATCAGAGGGAAGGGGGCAGGCAGGAAGTGTCAGATTACAGAAGTTTCTTTACCTTTCTTTGACTTTCTACTTGTAAAACTACTTTTGCAAGATTCCTCTGGTGCTTGTCATTCAGTTCGATGTTAGCTATAGGTGAGACCCTTAAA